TCCATTTTATATTACTCTGACAGGTGTGCGCTTGCATCTATATAATTGTTACCACGCTTAGCGCGTGCGTTCAGCATAAACGCCCAGTCAGAAACCTGCACTTCAAGCATCCTGCCCTATGCCTTAACCATTCATTTTGATCAAAACTACTAGAACTTACATACTCTGCTATAATGTTTCAGTTGGAGCAAAGAAATGAAAGCAACCTAAGTTTGTTCACACTCTGGAATACGCTATTTTCTGCCCAACTCTAACTTCCTTCTACTTCTCAACCTCAAGCTTAACTTCTTCTAGAGATTTATTTCTCAAGCCCTTTCACTAGCCTAAACCTTTAACCTTTACACTACCAACTTGGGCTTCTTTAACCATCGGCTACTAGCCCGTCCTAATCCTGCAGCCTCTTTATGCTCTAGATGCGAGCTATTAGCCTCTCCTTTATTGATGTTTTTTTTAACAGGTCTGAATTACAGGATAAGAAAGATTCATGGTTATATACAAATTAAATTATAAAGGTATCAGAACTGAAAGTTCACTTCCCCAAAGTTAAAAGGATGCAATGTCCTCAATGCAGCTAAGAACATCTAGAATGTAATATTCCAACACACCCCCAAACTTAAAGTGAGACGAATATGAAACTGAAAAGAATGGTAGCTAAGTGTATAAATACAGGAGTAAGGGGCGATTGCTAACAACTAAGGGGATCAACTAGAAGAGGTCCATGCTAGCTCTACAAAGATAAGGGTTGGCTTTGGATAGATAACCATTGAAATTCCTCCATAAGGTAAGCGCTACCTGGGGCTAGTACTACGAGAGGGATGCTAGGGCATGGGCAGGCAAACATGAACTAGAGGGAGAACAAAAGAAAGCTAACTCTCATTAAAATGCTCCAGCATCAACAGGAAAAGCTGCGAACTAGCAGGCTCTAGCATCAAGACTATACACAAAAGGCAGGGCAAAACGCAGATGTTGAGAACACAGGATTGCTAACAATTTTCTTTGTATCATTACTTTCAGGAGGGATTCACATACTGAACTACAAAAAGAAAAAAATATGCAAGGATCGATTTGAAAGACAGAAATTTAAAAAGCAGAAATTCAAGCTGAATTAAACTAGACTAAGGAAAATAAAAAGTGCCAACAAATTGGGGGGGGGGATGTTTCAGAGCAAAAAGGAAAGGAACTTTCCTCTCGTGGGTCAAGCATGTCAATGGTTTTTGCCTTCTTTCTCATCCAACGAGTCGTTCGTGGGCAGATCTTCCTCTTTAGATCTATTGTCTTCTTCCATCTCTTTGTTGCTGGGGCATGCTCCTGTGAAATAGCTGCAACACTTCCCCTTAGTTGGGGAAATAAAAATTCTCTTTTTTACCTTTTTGTTTTTCTAGGAAGCAGTGGCTGGAGTTGCTCCCACTTGCTCGATTTGTACCTTGGCCGATGACATAGAAGGTTTTACCTTTTCCTCTTTGATGCATGATGCTTCCAACTCTCTTTTTGGTCTCCTAGTCCTTGCTTCTGAACCTTTTAGAGTTGGTTTGATGTCGGGTGGCTCTTTTTTAGGTAAATTTGTCGACTTTTCCTTTACAACGATGTGCAGTTTATCCACCGAGGCTGTAAGGCTCTGTCTTTTATTGAGGGCACAAGATGCTGTAGCATCTACCTTCTCCATACTTGGTTGGCCCTGACTAGCTTCTGCATGCTATGCTGGGGCATCTGACGACTCAACCTTTTTATACTCTTCTCTCGGTGCTGGGGTCTCTATCTCAACGGTAGCATCTTCCTTTACTATCATCTCTTTATTTCCATCACCAAAACCTTCTTAAGCTCCAGCATCCATACTTACACTATGCTCTAGCATTGCTTCTGCACTCAATTCCTCCACTAAAGCTTCATCTAAAATCTTCAACACTRAGTATTCTTCTGATTCAGCAGGAAACTTCATGGAATCATAAACTGAGAACTTCACTTCTTGATCTTGAACGTGCATTGTCAACTCTCCTTTATAGACATCCACGAGCGCTCTTCTAGTTGCAATGAATGGTCTTCCCAAAATGATAGGAACCTCCTTATCTGCATCATAATCCAAAATAATAAAAGTCAGCAGGGGAAATAAATTTATCTACTTGTACCAGAACATTTTTGATTTTCCTTTCTAGATGCGTGATGGATCGATCTGTTAATTGCAATGTGACTGTTGTTGGCCATGCTTCTCCCATTCCCAAATTTTTGTAGATAGACAAGGGCATGAGATTGATACTTGCCCCCAAATCGCAGAGTGCTTGGCCTATCTTCTGTCCTCCAATGGAAACGAGTATGGTGAAGCTCATAGGATCCTTAATCTTTTCTAGAATTTTGCTTGTGAGGATGGTGCTGCAGACCTTGGTCATTGCCACAGTTTCATATTCTCCCAGCTTTCTCTTTTTTGTGAGTATCTCCTCTAGGAACTTCACATAATTTGGCATTTGCTCTAAAGCCTCCACCAAAGGTATGTTGACATGCAACTACTTCAGCACATCAAGGAACCTTCTAAATTGCACATGCTGCTCTTTCTTTTGCAGCCACTTTGGGTATGGCGGTGCAGGTCGATACTCGACTGGAGCATTTTTATGCTCTTTCTGCTTCTGTTTTCCAGTCATGTACAGATGTGATGCTTCTGTATTGGCTACCCTAACTTTTATTGGGCTGACCTCTTTGCTTTTGTTGCTTTGCAGTTCCATTATATGCTCGCTAATGTTCACTAACTACCTAAGGTTTGCCCTTTTTTTACTGGCATAATTATAGGTGTTCTGGTTGACTCACATTCTTCTGTTTGTAGCCCACTTCTTTCATCTTGATTTAATTCTTTATGGATTCCTCGAGCATTTGGATGGGCAGTGGGCAATGTCTTGCCACTTCACAATGTCAGAGGATTACATTGTTCCTTCTCATCGCTCTTGGGCTCCTTAATATGATTCGGCAGTGCTCCATTGGGTCTACTTTTCAAGTCTGTCACTAGTTGGCCTACCTGCATCTCTAGATTCCTCAATTATGCGGGCTGACTTTGCACCGTGGTATCATTCTTTTCCATATACTTCTTTATTAGATTCTGCAATTATGCAAATGATCCTTCATATGGCCTTTGCACTGCTACCTGACCTTGGGTTGAGAATCATTGGGAATAACTTCCTTTTTGCTGATATGTTGGAGCATTAGATGTACCAACGCTGTTTTCTCCCTGATTTTCGCTCCAACATAAGTTAGGATGGTTCCTCCAGCCCGGGTTGTATGTATTGGAATACGGGTTGTTTCCATTGTTCTAAGTATTTCCCAAATAGTACATCTACTCTGGATTGCCAGGACAATTGTTATAATGATGAGCCCTCCTTCACAAAAAGAGCAAGAAATCCCTTGGATGTGGCTAACATTTGCCTTACCAGCAGATTCTCTAGCTGCGTTTTGCTGCGTCATACTCTTCATAACCAAATCTGTCAAATTCTCAATATTTGAATTTAAGGAGGTGAAAGACTCTGATTCGTTCAGTCCCTTGCTTTCTCTCCCTTGGATGGCTCTAGGGCCAGACCATGAATGATTGTTCGACAATATCCTCTCTAAGATGTTGAATCATAAGGTTTTGCTAGCAAAGCCCTATTTGCTGATGTATCAATGACCAGACGGGTGGCATCATCCAATCCGTTACTGTATGTTTCAATCTGGATGCATTTTAGGATCTCATGGTGAGGGCATTTTTGTAGAAGTCGTTTAAAACACTTCCAAGACTCACTAATCGACTCCTAAAAAAATTGCTGAAAATTGTTGATTTCGCTTATGTACTTAGCATTTTTACTTGGTGGGAAGTACTTCATCAAAAATTTTCCAGCCCGGTCGTCCCAGCTTGTAATCGATTCTGAAGGGAGTGACTCCAACCAAGTCCTCGCTTCATCTCTGAGTGAATAAGGGAACAACTTACGCCGCAACACTTCTTTGTTGCATCCTTCATCCTTAAATGAATTGCAAACTCCAATAAAAAATTCCAGATGTTGATGCGGGTTCGCAGTAGAATGTCTGTGAAATTGACGCACTGTTTTGGAGCATCTTAAACATAACTTGCTTAAGCTCAAATTTTGGGGCTACAATTTCTGGCTCCGTGATTACTAGGTTGAAATTATAAAATGCTAGAGCTACATATGCTCTAATTTATCTGTCAATGTCATCTGCTAGTAATAAAACATTGAAAGGGGGCACTGCTACCTCAGAGTCAGCAGCAACGGAACCCCATCTACTATTTTCTCAATCCTCACATTCGGTGGCTGACGCTGATTTAGGTTGGGTGGATTCATGTTTGCTTCAGCTTGGACTCTCCTTTGTTCTCTTCAATTTCTATGGAAAGTGCGTTATATCTCATGGTCAATAATATATTCCAAGATCTCAAAATCGTTCATGCACCTACAACCACACAAAAATGTGAGAAAGAGAAAACTCTATTAAGCACCGTATCTACAAACATTATTGTTTAAAATAAAATCACTAAGTCCCCGGCAACAGCGCCAAAAACTTGTTGCTCCACACAACCGTGTTGACAACACGTGCAAGTATACACGAAATTATCGATTGTAGCACGAAACGAGGTTGAATCCATAGATACTTTGGATAATATTTTAAACCATGTTTGCAGATACCAAAAGTGTAAAAACAAATAAATATAGGTGTTGTGTCATAACTAAATAATTATAAGAAAACAAAGCAGTAAACACTATCCACAGTAGACACACTTCCAACAGTTGATGACAGGAAGAAGGTTACAACACAAAATAATGGAAATGGTTGGTTAACAGATATGAAAAAGTAGCAGAGATTTAACATGCTTCCACTAATTTCTCAACCTACACTCTGGCTTGACAACTTTCATTAATGCCCAACTCGACGTGGTTCCCTCCCGAGACACCCAAACATGGATACCCACAACTCTCATTGCTAAGTTCCAAGCAATAAAAACAAGTTCTAGGCATGATTAAGGGACCCCATTCCTGAGCATCCACAACATACTATAGAAAAGTACTAATCACAAATGAAGCAAGTCGGCAAACCGTAAGCCCTCCCAAGTCAATACCGTAGCTAGCAAACAGAACAAGGTGGCCAAAAATGTTCAGTAAGATATAGGAAAAATAAACAACTCCATTAAAAAACGAATATAGCAGTTAGAGGTTCAGTTTCATATCAGTTACAGCATATGAATCTCCACTTAAATGAGGTTTAGCTCATGAATGAAGAAGAAAATACAATGGGTAAAAGAAGAAGGCAACCCATCTTAGGGAAATAGCAGAAAAAAGGAAGAAGAAGAAGATGATAGCTTGAAATTGTAGAGGAATATCCTTTATGTCGTCAGCTTTCTGCCCCCAAAAATGGAGATAATCCTCCTCCTTGTCGTTTCAGCTCTAAAAAACGTGCTTCTATTCGGATCGTTATGTGGTGGCTAGGGTAACGTGTCCTTTTTATATCGGGTCCCGTTTTGAAGGCACCTAGCTAAAGATTGTACGAACATGGTAAATTCTCGTTTTTTGCAGTTACTGCATTGTAATTCCATGTTCCAGCTCTGCTTCACTTCAGCTTTCGTCTGCTCTGCCTCGAACATGCTTCATCCACTTTTATCTAGATTTAGCACTCTCTTTATGCTTAGTCTTCTACTTCCAAACCTGTGCATTTACACCAGAAATAAGAGAATTTAGTGCAATGTTTACCTCAAGCATTCAAGACCTGGGACTTTTACCTCGGATTCTATTTTCTAATCTTATTTAAGCTATTTAAGAGCTAAAACTCACACACTTTGACAATTTTTTGCATAAAATACCCAAATAAATACTAGAATATCTCTCTTTTGGAGTGTTATCAGCGGGCGGTCATCCTTCTTTGGAGACTTTAGCTTTGGATGCGCTTTGCCCCCGTTATACTTTCGTCTACGGTACTCAGGCTCTAAGCCTTCACCGACGAATTTCTTTAGATATCCTCTTTGAACAAGGGACTCAACCTGGTCCTTAGGGTCTCTGCAACCGCTGTGTCATGTCCGTGGTCTCGGTGGAATTTGCAATACTTGCTCCTGTCCTTCTTGGCAGCGTCACCCCTGCAGCGTTACGACCATTGCAACAGGTTGACGATGGGGGTCCCATCGATTCGAGCAAGTATCTGGTGTACCAGGAAGCGAGAGTGTATTTCCCATATCGCGAAGTCCGATCGAGCCCCGTCGGGCTCTCTCTTTGCAGCTGATCTCTCCGCTGATTTCMATTTGTCACGCCAAGTCCCGTCGCTTGGCTTCTTGCCTAGGGACTGGGCCGCGAGCATCTCCTCTCCAGCTATGTGCCTGTTAATCCAAGCCGTGAGTTCGGCCATAGACTTAGTAGTGTACTCGCCTAGTGATCGTACAAGTTTTCTTTCTTTGATGCCTTGGGAGAGTGCCCATAGGGCCACACTTTYGTTGTAGTTTGGTACTCGGAGCTTCTCATTTGAGAAACGTGCAACATACGCTTTTAGGTTCTCACATGGTTTCTGCTTGATCAAGGATATATGGGCTTCCATTCGCCCGTTGGTGCTGGAGTAATGGAACTGGTCTACGAACTTGCTCGCTAGGTCCTCGTAGCTCCACACCGAGTGCG